GGGGGAGTGGGAGAGGGAGAAGCAGACTTCCGGCGGAGCAGGGAGCCCAGTGCGGGGCTCGATCCCAGGACCCTAGGATCATGACCTGAGCCGAAGGCAGACGCTTAACAACTGAGCCACCCAAGTGCTCTCTCTGCACTCTTTTTTACTGTCCTGTTTTTTTTTCTTTTTTGATTGAGAGAGAGGGAGAGAGCGCATGCGCATGTACACATGCAAGTGGGGGGAGGGGCAGAGGGAGAGAGAAAATCTTAAGCAGGCTCCACTCAATGTGGAGCCTGACGCTGGGCTCCATTTCATAACCCTGAGATTGTGACCTAAGCCGAAATCCAGTCGGATGCTCAACTGAGCTACCCAGGCACCCCGTTCTGGTTTTCTTTTAATAATTATTAACAAGTTGTTGTGGAAATCATTCCATATAGATACGTTGGCAAAAATAAAAAAGATGTATAAAATTGACTTATCTTTCTTGGTGTTATGTGTTGATTTTTGCCATATCTCATTAATTATTGGAATTGTTAATAGTAAAGTTTCCAAGCAGACAGTCACAAAATTTGTAAATATTTTCAGCTTTGTTTCTTGCTTTTCTATGCTTGCAATTTTGATACTCCTTTTAGTCTTATTGCTGTGGCTGCACTGTTCAGGAAGTGTTCAATAGAAATAGCACTACTATGTGTTTTCATCTTTTTTTATGATTTTTATGGGCATGACTTTTTCTTCTTTTTAAAAAAAAATTTTTTTTTAAAGATTTTATGTATTTATTTGAGAGAGAGAGAATGAGAGAGAGCATATGAGAGGGGTTAGGGTCAGAGGGAGAAGCAGACTCTCTGCCAAGCAGGGAGCCCGATGCGGGACTCGATCCAGGGACTCCAGGATCATGACCTGAGCCGAAGGCAGTCGCTTAACCAACTGAGCCACCCAGGCACCCTAAAAATTTTTTTTAGTTTTGGAATAATTTTATATTTACCAAAAAAGTTGCAAAAATAGTATAGAGAGTTCCTATATTCCTCACCTAATATCAATTTCCTCTACATTTTTGTGGCATATTTGAATTTACCTCATCCCCATCATTTTAATTCCCTCCAACATAGTATATCTGTCATAAACTTCATGATTTATCCTTTCTTTGTTTTGCTTAATGTGAGCCCTTATGTATATATCTTCATATATCCCCTTTCTTTTATAAATGGTAGCAGCATATACATACAGTTTACTCCTACCTTGTTCTTCTACTTTAAAAAGTCATGAAGATCATTCAATAGAATATATAGATACTTCTCATTTCTTTATTAAGTTACTTAGAACTCTATTGTGTGCATTTACGATACTGAGTTCAAGTAGTATTAAGTTGGTGGCTATTTGGGTTTGTTATAGTCATTTGCTCTTACACAAATAGTTCTGTAGTGGATAACCTTCTGCATAAATCTCTTCAGATTCTTTCCAGAAAGTATAGTTTGGGTTCCTAGAATTGGGATTGCTTGCTCAAGGGATAAATACTTATATAATTTTGCTAGAAACTGGCAAATATCCCCGTATGGTAGTTGTACCATTTTTATTTGCTACACTGAATGTGTGAAAGAGGTTACTTGCCTATAGCCTTCTAACAGATTAGGTTATCAGATTTTTGGGTTTTTGCCGAAGTATACTTTGAATTTATTCCAAAATTTAAGAATCATTGACTTCGTCTTTTTCTGATCCCCTTCCCCATGTCTTTCTATGTCTCTTTTCAATTTCTATACTTTATCTCTCAAATTGCACCACCATATAAGAACTGTAAATCCTATTTACATTATAAACATTGATGTCAATGTAATTCTGCCTTTTCTAAGTTTTGTGTCTTCTCCCTCCCAAAAAAGTGAATGTTTTTGTGTTTTCTTTCAGAATATAAATCTAGGTGTGAGAACAAGAAATTATCTCTGAAAAAGGGTAACTATAAAATAGATTCATCCCAGTGGGTTATAATGGAAGGATGTACAAAGCATGGACTTAAACAGGGATCTCAGGAAAGACATTTTAGCCAAATCTCATGTACCTCTGAAGACATATCCCCTTTCATTCAGCAAACATCTCTCCCTCTACATCGAACATTTAATACCAAAGAGAAATCTTATGAATGCCAAAAACATAAAAATGCCTATGGACAGGACTCAAAACTTACTACACATCAAGAAGGTCATAATGGCGAGAAATTCTATGACTATAAGGAATATGGGAACACCCTTAGTAGAACTTCAAAACTTAGTTCATATCATTCAGTGCATATTGGTATGAGACCCTATGAATGTGAGGAATGTAGGAGGTCTTTGAATAGTGACTCGGACTTTATGCAACATCAGATAAATTTTACTAGGGAGAAATCTAATGAATTTAGGAAAAGTGGGAAGGCCTTTACTAATGCCTCACAGTTTTTTCTACATCATAGCATTCATACAAGTGAGAAACACTTTAAATGTAAGGAGTGTGTTAGAGAATTTAGTAATGGTACAGCCCTTATTCGTCATCAGAGGATTCATACTGGTGAAAAACCTTATGAGTGTAATGAGTGTGGAAAGGCTTTTAGTACTAGTTCAATATTTAGAGTACATCAGAGGATTCACACAGGTGAGAAACCCAATGAATGTAAAGAATGTGGAAAAGCCTTTCGTCATTCCTCATACCTTACTCAACACCAAAGAATTCATACTGGTGAGAAACCTTATAAATGTAAGTATTGTGTTAGAGCATTTAGTAATGTTTCGGCCTTTATTCGGCATCAGAGGATTCATACTGGTGAGAAACCCTACAAATGTAAGGAATGTGGAAGAGCCTTTAGTACTGGCTCAATCCTTACAGCACATCAGAGAATTCACTCAGGTGAGAAACCCTATTTATGTAAGGAATGTGGGAAGGCCTTTCGTCAGTCTTCAGACCTTACTCAACATCACAGAATTCATACTGGTGAGAAACCCTATGAGTGTAAGGAATGTGGAAGGGCCTTTCGTCGTTCATCAGAACTTTCTCGACACAAGTTAATTCATGCTGATGAGAAATTGTATGAATGTAAGGAATGTGGAAAGATATTGAGTAGAGATTCAATACTTATACAACATCAGAAAATTCACACTGGTGAGAAAGCCTGGGAATGTAATGAATGTGGAAGAATTTTTACTTGTGCAACATACCTGACCCGGCATCAGCGAATTCATACTGGTAATAAACCATATACTTGTAACAAATGTGGAAAAGCCTTTCTTCGTTCTTCAGACCTTATTCTGCATCAAAGAATTCATACTGGTGAGAAACCCTATGAGTGTAAGGAATGTGGGAAGGCTTTTGCAAGAGGCTCAAATCTTAATCGCCATCAAAAAGTTCATAATGGTAAGAAATAGTATGAAAGTAAGCTTTGTAAGACCTTTAAGCATGTCTTTCAGGTAACATGACATGAAAGAGAAATCTCAGAAATGTAATAGGAGAAATCCTAAAATTTATTGGTAAGAAAATATAGAAATATAATTAATATGAGAATGCCTTATGTGTTTCACAGTTTAACTACCATAAGAATAAAATGAATATTGGAAGTCCTCTATCAATAGCTCATTCCTTTCTAAATTTTAAAAACTTTCTAATCATGAGTGGAGAAAAGTGAAAAATCTTTTTTGTTGCATTTTTCATATTTTAAAATACTTTAAATCCACTTTATTTTTTATATAGCTGTAAGTAGTTCGGTTTATGCATAGCTAAAATACTATATTATTATGTTGTACATTAAATTTTTGAATTTATTTTGTTCTCACCAAAACTCTTATTACAGCACAACTTATTCAGTAACTATTTTCTGAAGCTATTTATGCACAGTTTTGTGACATTTTATATTTTTAATGTTATAAGCTTGGATATAATGAGTCTTTTTATACCCCAACATCCAATTTGGAAACTCTTTACTTGATCTTTTTATAATAAATTTATACCTGCATATCTTTGCATCTGTACCATTTTATTTATTTATTTATTTTTAAAGATTTTATTTATTTATTTGACAGAGAGAGA